GCTGATTTCTTAAAACCGGATTTTTTTTTTGCAACTGATAATCAAGAAGCATGCACGCAAGGCAAGACTTTCGAATGGCTAAACACCTCGCGTGCGTTTTTCATACCATCCTTGATATTATGAGTGTAATTCTGATAGAAGGGGATGAAAATATGAAAGTTACCAGTCAATAAACGGTCGTTTCCCTTGTAGTTTTGTCGACTGCAGTTCACGTTTCTCGGCAGCCGGAACGTAACGCGGCGAAAAGTTCGAATTTGACGATCCTTTGAATATGGACAGATCCACATCGTTGGTCTCACGTGGCAAAATTGGTCTCAGTGGCAAAACATTCTTTGACGTTCGTGAACAGTAACGTTCCATGAAGTCGACAATATCATCCTGAAATACACAAATCCGTATCAACATCTATCACAACTGAACCATACATCTATCTGCATGTAAACAAANGAACAGTAACGTTCCATAAAGTCGACAATATCATCCTGAAATACACAAATCCGTATCGACTATCACAACTGAACCATACATCTATCTGCATGTAAACAAACAATACAAATGAATAACCATCACTCAATCAAAAATATAATTGACCAAATTCAACGTAATTTATCTCCCGCAAAACGTCAACAAATTTGAATGACAAGAGAATTTCTAAATCCCATCACAACATCAATCTTAATTCAGTTTTAATTCACATCGCTCGCACTCCTTCAAATTATATTCTCTTCTCAGCATAATCAAACGAGCACATATCTACACGATACTCTCCACGAACTGAATGAAAACAACTCACCAGTAACGCTCGCTCAACAGTACGTTGTGTGAATCGTTCAATACATAAGCGCAAAACGTTCACATGTAAATTGTTATCAGCCGACCCGATCACGATAACACCAGCCGGTGCTGAAATATTTGCTCTGTTGAAACTATAATTAAGGATTTGCAAAAAGTATCGCTAAAGGTGTGTCTGAACGAGAATCCATACACGAAAAGCCTCAAGTAGATGTTCCAAACAAATATGTTACATGCAGAAATTTCAACTTCATATCAAAACTCAATCACATTCGAGTGAATTTATCAACGAACAAGCGAGCGAGTACGTGTATGACTGAGTTATGACTCGAGCAATAGTAAACGAAAGCACTAGTAGCTGGACTAATGATGAAATGAGGATGCATAACTCCAAAACGATTCATTTCAAAAACTAGAATGCACCTTTCATTCGATACGCCATCCGTTGCATTTCAACCACATCGCAATCGAGCGCTTCCTCACCGATAATGAACAACGACGGGCAATAAGTCAACAGGATATCATCGTCAACATCCTCAAATTAGAAAGTGAAACAAGCGAACTCAGTAGAAATTCATGTGGCTGCTAAATTCAATCATAAAATTTCTATACGTAAAAATGTGAATTGGATAAAACTGATATTAA